TTTATTCTTTTCATTAATATTGTAAGTGAAATTATTTTCTTAACTTTATTTTCAGTTTGTTCATTGCCAGTGTATACAAAGACAAATAGTTTTTAAACATCAGTATTCCTTTGACAACTGCTGGGCACTCCATTATTGTATTATCATTTTTTTCCCAGTCCTCAAATGACAGGCATTTAGCTTATTTCTAATTCTTTCCTGGTAAAAAGTGGTGCTGCAATGACTTTTCTTGTGCATATCCATGAAGTTTAAGGCATCTGAAAATGATTGAGAAAAGATCTACAACTGTTGATTGCCACTACCCTGGCCTGTGCCACCATCATCTCGCCTTTGGAGCATAGCCTCAGCCTGCTTATTGGATTCCCTGCTTCCCCCTGGTCCCTCTAATTCATTCTCCTCCCAGAAGCCAGAGAGATCCCATTAAAATACAAGCCAGTTGTGGCTTATTCCTCTGCTCAGAACCCTCCAATTGCTCCCATCTTGTGTCAATTAAAGTTTACTATCAGGATGTTCATGGCCTTACAGTCTGACCTCACACCCTCTCCAACATCCTCTCCATCATTCTCTCCTGTGCCCATTCTGTTCCAACTACGCTGACTTCCTTGTGTTCCTTAAACACATCAAGTGCAGTCGCCCCTCAGGACCTTAGCCATTACTATTCCTTCTGCCTGGGACACAGTTCCTCAGACTCTTCCGTTACTCACTCCCCCAATTCAGCAGGTATCTGCATACATGCTCCCTCTTCAGAGAGGGCTTCCCTGCCACTCCGTCTTGGGTCACACCATCACTCCTTCCCCACCCCTGCTACCTTGCCGCTTGCTTTGCTTTATTTTTCTTATAATCCTTACCATCATCAGACATTAAGATGTCAGTTGACTCTCACAATAATTCACTGATGTAAATACTATTACTATTCCCACTTGACAGATGAGGAGACGGGCTCCGAGAGGTGACTCAGTATGTGCAAGATCACTGAGCTGATAAATGGCAGTGTCAGGGTTTGAACTCTAGTCTGACTCCAAAGATGCAGCATTTAGCACCATTTCTTGTGGTCAGTTATATTCCCCATGACAATGAATAAATGAATGCCTGAGTAGACAAAATGTTTGCTATCCCAAATACTAGTAAGGCAGTGTTTTGGGGTAAAATTTGTAATTGTATCAATGTTCTTTCATGCTAATATGAGTTAGAGGGGAAATATTTTTTTAATTACAAAGAACAACAATACAAAATTGACAAGGACATGATAAAACTGGAAACCATAGTGATTCCCATCACTGGTGGGAATGCAAGGTGGTATAATTACTTTGAAAACCACTTTAGTTTTGTATTATAAAGTTACCGACCCAGGGATCAAACCCGGATCTCCTGCATTGCAGGTGGATTCTTTACTGTCTGAGCCATCTAGTGGGAAGCTTGGTTAAACATGCACTTACTATATGATCCGGTAATTCCAGTCCAAACCATTTAACCAAGAGAAATGAAACTGTATCCATGCCAAGACTTGTACATGAATGTTCATAGCAGCTTTATTCATGTAACAGAAGCAACTCAAATATTCACCAGCAAGTAAATGAATGAACAAATAGTGATACATTTGTACTATGGAATACAACTCAGCACAGTAAAAGGAAAACATATTAGAATGTGAAACAACTTAAACTCTTAAAAGCAATATGTGAGTAAAATGAAGGCCCATTTTATTCACAAAAAGAAACATATTGTATGATTGAATTTATGTGAAATTCTAGAAAAGACAAAGTTAATCTATAGTGACAACAAGCCAAACAATTGTTACCCTAGGAAATGAGTGGGGAAGTTGAGTGTAGCAGGGTATAAAGGAACTTCTTGGAGTGATAAAAATGCTTTATATCTTGATTAGCGTGGTAATTACACGGATGTCTACAGTTGCCAAAACTCATCAAGCTGAGTATTTTAAATGGAGCATTTTATTTATAAAATTATGCTGCAGTAAAGTTGATAGGGACTTTGGGAACACATATGCGATTTTCATTGCAGCATTACTTTAATAGCCAAAAAAAAAAAAAAAAAAAGAAGAAATTGGAGAAATTGGCTATTGACAGGAGAACGTTTTCGCTATAAGTGGTCCTTTGCCATCAGAAAAGCAAACTCAGAAGATGTAGCTGATGCTGGCAATGACACTAACATCCCCAGAACCTGCATCTGTCTTCTTAGAGGCTCTCTCTGGTGACTGGAGCATGCATGGGGCAAACCAGAAATATTAGAGGATTAATATCCAGCCCCACCAGGAGCAACCATAGGGTTGCAAAGAGTCAGACACTGTGGAGTGACTAAATAGCTGCAGGAGCAGCCCTCATCCAATGTCTGACAGGAGCTGGTGTATAAATGCCCAGACTACCTCATGTCTCAGGTGGGATAACTCTGTGTGGGTTCATTCCCCAGGCATGAATGAGCTCCAGGAGCCCCCAGTTGGAGCTTGCTTGGTAATGCTTTCTTGAGTGGCTTTCTTCCCTTTTCATTCACGCACTCCTTTACCCATGTTCTCTGCATCTTCTAAATAACCAACTTCCACTTTAATCTGTGTCTAGGGTCTACTTCTGGGGGACTCAAATTAAGACCAGCAGATGATACCTAAGGTACAGTCAAGATATGGGGAAATGGTGGAGAGGAATCCAAGCAGCAGCCATTTGGTAAGTTTCTGTCATTCTTGGCAAAGCCAAGTCTTAATAAAATACTCACATAGGTTCATAAGGGGACTCATATCAGGATGTTTACAGTGGCACTGTTTATGGTGGGGTGAAGCTATGTGCCATTTGGGTGTCTGTGACTAGCGGAATGGATAAATAGACTATGGGGGATATAGACAATGACCTTCAGCAACATGGCTAGATATATACTAGATAGATATATACTAGATAGATACTAGATAGTATCTAGTGATGGAGTGAAAAAAAAAAGTACAAAATTGAAGTACTATCCAAGAAAATTAAATACACAATTAAAACAATATCTGCTTTTTAAAAGGGCATACATGCATTTAAGCACATAAACCAAATGCATAAGAGCAGGGTCATTATCTTTCTTATTCATGGTTCTGTCCCCCTCCATCACCACCTGCCATTCTCCCAGCCACAGGGGACCTTTGGTCATGTACAGAAACATTTTTGGCTATCATAACTGAGGAATGGAGCTGCTACTGTCATCGAGTGGATGACATCTGGGAATTCTGTTCAACCCCCTGCTATGCACAGAACAGCTCCCCACAACAAAGAATTTCAGGACCTAAATGTCAATAGTGGGACTGCCCAAGTGGCTCCGTGGTAAAAAATCCATCTGCAGGTTCCACCCCTGGGTGGGGAAGATCCCCTGGAGGAGGAAATGGCAAGCCACCCCAGTGTTCTTGCCTGGATAATCCCATGGACAGAGGAGTCTGGCAGGCTACAGTCTATGGGACCGCAAAGTGTCCAACAAGAATGAGCAACTGAGCAGGCACGCAAATGTCAATCAATAGTGCTGAGGCAGAAAAGTCCTATGTAGCTCAGCCCCAGCATAGTGAATGAACGAGTGAATTAGAGATGGTGGGGGCCTGAAATGACTGGTATCGGGTGGGACTCCAGAGACACCGTAGTGTTTCTGTACATTCTTGGAGGTGTGCTCAGCAGGATTTAGGGTGACAGTCCGTTTCCAGGAGGAGTGGGCTCTGCCCTTGTCTGGCCCTGGACACCTCTCATTCATGTGCAGCCTCAAATTGTACCCTCCAGCGCCGCTTACTGCCCCCTCAATTTTCGAGCTCCTCTGAGCTACTGGGAAACTGGCCAGGAGTGAGTCAGGCTGGTTCCTGCGGGCAAAAACTTTGCATGGAGTTTGAATAGCCAGGGCCTGAGGAGCAGAAACCGCAGACCACAGAAGGGCCGGGAAGGCTTGGGACACGGAGTTGGGGAGGGGACTGGGTTAGAAGGAGGCGATTGGAATGGTGGGGAAGTGAATCGGAATGCTTGGGGTGGGGGGTGGGTAGAGTCCTGTGAGAATGAGGAAGGTAGGGTTAGGATCCTCCCGAACCGGTTTAGAATCCTTTGATACGTGGGATCAGAAACCTGGAAAGCAGGGGTTGAATCTTTGAATGGGCCAGATTAGAATCCTGGGGCGGGGGGCGGAGGGGGGGGCGGCTGGCGGAGCGGGGGGGCGGGGGCCGCGGCGGGAGGGCTGGCGCTGGGCGCGGGGAGAGGCAGATTAAAATCCTATGTGAATAGGCTGGGATCACCCAGGAGTGAGATTAGAATAGAATCCCTAGGATTAGGGTCACAAATCTTGAGGGCTGGGTTAGAATCTTTTTATGAAAGAGACTAGGGTCCTCCACTTGCCGGATTAAAATCCTGGGGGCAGAATTAGAAACCTCTGGTAGGCGAGGTTAAAATTCCTTCATGGGTGAGATTCAAAATCCTTTAGGGCAGAATTAAGATCTCAGGAGAAGATGGGGTGCTGGGGTTCTCGGGAGGGTGGGGTTTAGAATCATTTGGGACAGGGTTAGGGCACTGGAAGGCGGGATTAGAATACATTGGAGGAGGTGTTAGTTTATTTGGAGATTAGGACCTTGGAAGGACCGGTTAAAATTCTTGGGGGCGGGGTTATTGCCCTTCGGGGATGAGGTAAGGATTCTTGGAGGCAGGGTTAGAAGCCTTGGATGGGCGGTGTTTAAAAAAATCCTTAGGCAGCGGGATTAGGATCTTGGGAGGTGGGGATAGAGATTGGAGTCCCTGGGGTGGGGTCAGAATCTCCGGGGCGGGTTTAGGACACTTGGGGGCGGGGTTAGCATCGCCCTGGGCGCCCAGATGGTCTGTGGGCGCCACCGAGTCCTTGGTTCCGGCCGGGACGCACCGCCGAGGCCTAAGGGCGAGTGGAAGGGGACGTGGACAGTCCAGCGCCAGAGGGTCCCCCCAAAGACGCACGGCACCGAAGCCCCTCGGAGCGCATCCCCAGCCTCTTCTTGAAAGTCAATCCATCTTCCCCTAGCTCTCTAGCGCCCCGGGACCCCGGGGACTGCCGAGCTGGGGGGGCGCTCGAGCTGCGAGGATCCGGGCTGCCCGCCGGAAGAGGAGCGGGCGCCCAGGTGAGTGCTTCGAACCTGGGGATCGGGGGACACCGGCCCTCGAACTCAGCCTGATGGTCGGGTCTTCGGGCTGCTGAGGGCACCCAGGGTGGTGAGCCGCGTAGGCTGGGGCTCAGCGGAAAAGGACCGTCTAGGGAGCGGCGGACAGGCGGCGGGATGCCGGGGCCGATCTTTGGGGGAGGATGTTCAGAACCTGGGAACGCGGGAGGGTGACTTTCTGCCTGAACCGCCACTTCCCTGGGCCGTCCAGGTTCCTCTTCTGCAAGAGACAAAAAAATGGCTTCAAGGAGCCCGAGAGGGGAAAAGCCCTTACGGTTCCTGCTGGGGCTGGGTGACAGTCACGGTCACGGCGGCTTGGCAGCCATGGTGGGGAAGGGGACAGCTGGCCGTAGGCGTGACAGCGCAAGCCACACCCAGGCAGGGCTGCAGCTGGGTCGGTTCGCTCTCTGGGCTCCCTCCTCCTCCCAGCTGCGCCCTGATCCCCAGGCGGTCTAGGTGGGACCCTGAAACCTCCTGGACAGACCACAGGAGGATGCCTGGCCCCTCACTTTCCTCCTGTGAGACCTTGGACTAGTCACTCACTCTCCGTCTATAAATTCCAATTTCCTCATCTGTCAAAGAGGGCTATTAGGTCTGTCTTCCAAGACTGCCATGAGATAGAGTATGTTAGAGGTCATGTTAAGTGAGTTTGGGCTTCCCAGGTGGCGCTAGTGGTAAAGAACTACCTGCCAGTACAGGAGACATGAGGTGTAGGTTTGCTCCCTGGATCAGGAAGGTCCCTGTAGGAGAGTGGAGGCGGGCATGGCAACCCACTCCAGTACTCTTGCCTGGAGAATCACATGGACAGAGGAGCCTGGCAGGCTACAGTCCACTGGGTCGCACAGAGTCGGACACAACTGAAGTGGCTAAGTGAGGGGTTTTGGGTGGGCGACCTGCCTTTTGGACCTTGGGCAGAGGATGTGGCCATTCTGTGCCTCCATTTCCATTAACTGTAGAATGGGGATATTTGAAATAATGGCTACCTCAGAGGGTCTTTTTTTAAATGTATTTATTTATTTATTTATTTGACCGTAATGGGTTTAGTTGCAGCATGTGGGATCTAGTTCCCTGACCAAGGATCAAACCCATGCCCCCCTGCATTGGGAGCTCAGAGTCTTAGCCACTGGATCACCAGGGAAGTCCCCATAGGGTTGTGTTGAAGATTAGATTGAGTTACTGACAGGTCTGCTTATTGCCTAACAGGTCTAACTGTTTAATATCCATTAACAATGGTCATAGCTATTACAGTCTAGCCTAGTGGTTCTCAAACTTAAATGGTACCTAAGAATCACCTGGAAAGCTTGTTAAGACACAGATTTTTGGGCCTTGACCCCAAAGTTTGTGATTCAATAGGTCTGGCACAGGATCCCAAGAATTTTTATTCCCAGGTGATGCTGTTGCTGCTGGTTCAAGGGCCACACTTTGAGAAGCACTTTGGCCAGCAGAGAGAAAGGCCTCAAAAGATATTGGTTCTCATCACTGCTTTCTCTGCACTATCCTTTTTTTGGGGGGGGGTGGGGGGGCGCGGCATTAAATACAGAAAAGCAAAGACAGTAATATACTAAATATCCCAGGAACCCACCACCCAGAATTAACAAATGTTCACATTTTGTCACATTTGTTTGTTTTTTGAAAAATAGAATTACTAAAAGTAACAGATAACATTGAAGCCTCCCCACCCTGTATCCACCTTAGTTCTGTTTCTCTCCCTCCCCAGAGACAATCTCTGTCATGAATTATAGCTCTTCCTGTCTGTGCCTTTAAAAATGTATTACATATATATGTGGGTGCATAAACAATACCCATAATTGTCTGTCGTGTTTTAAAGATCTACATAAATGCTGTCTAACTGTGAGATTCGGCGGCAGTTTCATTTTTCCCTGCCTTGTTATCATTAAGTTGTCAGAATCTAGCCAGAATGAGACACAGAGCTCTAGTTTATTCTTTCTAAGTGGAGGATTCCAGGAGGGGACCATCCTGTCCTACTTCTCATTCCCCCTAATGTTGAACATTCAGGTTGATCCAGGGCTTCATGACAACAAACAACACTGCTGGGGCCAGCCTGGATGTGTGGTCTTGGGCTCATGTACAGGTGTTTCTAGGGGGAAACACCGAGAGGCTGAGTGGCTCTCCCAAGGGGCAGCTTTTGTGTATGAGGAGGGCTGAGGCATGGAAATGTCACCCAGGGGGTCTGGGGCAGAGAAGAGAGAAGAAAGAATCGGCTCTGCTGACCTTCCAGCTCCCTCTAGATCCAGGGCCACTGTCACCTGTTCTCAGCTGCAGGAGGGCAAAGATTCTCCTCTGCCTTATTCACTACGCCTGACACTTAGTATATGCTCCAACAATAAGAGCATGCATCTTTTTTGTTTTGTTTCGCTTTTCAGGTTTTTTTTTTTTTTTTGGTTTTCTTTTTGCCTCCCCTCACAGCTTGACCAATCTTAGTCCCTCAACCAGGTATTGAACCTGGGCCCTCAGCAGTGAAAGCACGGAGTCCTAACCAACAGATAATCCCCTCACAGCTTGACCAATCTTAGTCCCTCAACCAGGTATTGAACCTGGGCCCTCAGCAGTGAAAGCACGGAGTCCTAACCAACAGATAGCTGGGAAATTCTCAGAAGCATGAATCTTTTAAAAAAAATGTTTGGGTAGCAAATATTTTAGTTTATTTTTATAGTCTACTTTTCTGTGCATGTTTTATTTAACATAATTAGTAAAATGCTGCATATACAATTTTTATCCCACTTATTTGCCTAGTATTACATTGCAAGCATTTTTCCATGTCATTAAAACATCCTCAAATTTTTAATGACTGAGTAATATTCCACTGTTTGGAGGCACTATAATTTGTTTTAACCATCCTAGCAAAGCACTTTTAGGTAGCTTGCAATTTTTTTAAAGTATTTTGATGTGGACCATTTTTAAAGTCTTTACTAAACTTGTTACAGTATTCTGTTTTGTATTTTGGTTTTTTGGCAGTGAGGCATGTGGATCTTAGCTTCCCAAACCCACACCCCCTGCATTGGAAAGTGAAGTTTTAACCACTGGGCTGCCAAGGAAGTCCATAGCCTGCAATTTTTAAAACTTTTTTAGGTGAAATTCATATAACATTATAAAATGAACCATTTTTAAGTGAACAATGCAGTGGGGCATTCAGTACATTCACAAGGTTGTGTGATCAGCATCTCTGTGTAGTTCTAAAACATTTTCATCATCCCAGAAGGAAACGCCATAGTCAGTTATTCCCCTTCCTCCCTCCCCTCAGCCCTTGGCAGCCACCAACCTGCATTTTGTATCAACGGATTAATTTATTCTGGATGTTTCAGATAAATGGAATTACATAATATGTGACCTTTTGTGACTGGCTTCTTTCAAGGTTCATCCACATTAAATACTGACACATTTAATTCCTTTTATGGCTGAATAGTATTTCATTGTATGTATATTCTATGATTTGTTTATTCACTCATCTGTAGATGGAAATTCAGGTTGTTTCCACGTTTTGACTACTGTGAACGGTGATGCTGTGAGCATGCCTGTACATATATTTGAGCACCTGTTTTCAGTTCCCTTGGGTATATACTTAGGAGTAGAATTTCTGGGTCATATAGTAACTCCATGTTTAACTTTTGAAGAATCACCAAATTATATCCCACTACTTTACATTCCCACCAGCAATGTACAAGAGTTCCAGTTTCTCCACCCTGTGGTCAACACTTGCTATTTTCCTTTTCAAAAATTATTATTAAAACCATTATTCATTAAGCATGAGTCTCAATCTCACCCCAACCAGGCTGCTGTCTGGGGGCCTCTTACCCCAGAGGGTGAGGAGAGAGTTGTCTGCATTCAGAGGACTGGTCAGGGCTTGGACTTTAAACTCTTTTAGAAAGTAAGTCCCATGAGGGCAGAGACCTATCTGTCTCCAAAACTACTGTATCTCTAACCCTGGCACCTGAGACATAGTAGGGCCTCAAAAATACAGAATTGAGGGGTGTTAACACTCCCTCCCCTCCTTTGCCTGAGATATTTCAGCAAATATGTGCATTTCAGTTGGCCTCACACAATGCTGCTGCTGCTGCTGCTGCTAAGTCGCGTCAGTCGTGTCCGACTCTGTGCGACCCCATAGACGGCAGCCCACCAGGCTCCCCCGTTCCTGGGATTCTCCAGGCAAGAACACTGGAGTGGGCTGCCATTTCCTTCTCCAGTGCATGAAAGTGAAAAGTGAAAGTGAAGTCGCTCAGTTATGTCCGACTCGTAGCGACCCCATGGACTGCAGCCCACCAGGCTCCTCCGTCCATGGGATTTTCCAGGCAAGAGTACTGGAGTGGGGTGCCATTGCCTCCCCCGGCCTCAAACAATGATTCTTCTTAAATATGCGCTAACATTTAAAGTCAAGAGAGCTCGTAGAAATCTGAGTTTCTGTCTTCTCTTGAACAACTAGAAGAGCTGGGACTAGAACCTTGGTCTCCTGTGCCGCTCTTCACTCACCGTAGTGTGGGTGATGCTCAGTGGGGTTGCCCTGTAGACTGCCCCTGAACTGTCCAGTTTGCAGCACCCTTGCCTGGACTACCTACTCCATGTGGGTAGCCCTGTGGGCCCCTATAGCTTATCTGAGTTCTCAAACCCAGTCCTAAAATCATGACAAGGCCTCCCTTTTTATAGAAAAGAAATGTCAGTTCCAGAGAGGATAAGTAACTTTCCCAAAGTTACAGAGTAAGTTAATGGTACCATCTCTTAGCCTCTGTCTTTCTAAGCCACCCCCACCACAGCGCTTTGATACCCCAGGCCATTCCTCCAGTTTCCTCCACCCCAGGACTGGGAGATTTAGTGTGTAATTCCAGAGGCATGGGTAAGGACACAGAAGAAACCCTTGCTTGAATATAAAATGTGTCCTGTTCTTGGCCAGTGGCTGTGGCCACACAGGCTGCACCCTCTGGGTGGCCCTGCCCTGCACTGGGCCTTGT